TGGTATACCAAACTCATGCATTGATTGGTATAGCACTGTTCTCTTGACACTGTCGTATGCGGCCTTGAAGTCGACGAATAGGTGATGGGTTTCAATATTGAATTCTAATGTTTTCTCGAGAATCTGTCTTATTGAATGAATCTGGTCAATTGTTGATTTTTCTGGAGTGAATCCAACTTGATATTTACCAATTATGCCCACTGTGTAAACTTGCAACCTTTCGTAGAGAATATTTGCTAGTATTTTGTAAGCAGTTGTTAACAGGGTTATACCTCTATAGTTGTCACACTGGAGCTGGTCACCTTTTTTATGTAACGGGCATATCACGCCTTGAGACCATTCACAAGGCATGGTCTCATTATGCCAAACAAGAAGTAAAAGCTTATGCAGTGTCTGTAGTAGGGCATCGCCACCATTCTTGTAGAGCTCACTGCAAATTTGATCAACTCCTGGTGATTTATTATTTTTAAGCTTTTTAATGGCTTGGGCAACGTTTTCGATGGTAGGTGGTCTTTCGTTTGGGTTGAAAGGATTCCAATCATTTCGATTTGCTAGGGTGTTATCTGCTTCTTCGATATGATGGCCATTAAATTTTGCATCGAAAAATTCAACCCATCTGTTTAGGATTGAGGCTGTATCATTTAGGATGTTTCCTTCTACATCCTTACAGCTCCTTATTCTTGGCTTAAACTCTTTGCGCATTTTGTTTAGATTTCTGTAGAACTTTCGAGTTTCATTTTGATTTCTTAGCCATTCTGTGCTTTCCAACTGCTTTTGTTCAAATTGTCTTTTTTTTCTTCTATGTAATCGTTTTTCTTCTCTTCTTAGTGTCCGGTATTCTTCCTTTGCTCTTCTTGTGCATCCAGCTTGATTTGTCTTTAGGTATGCCCTGTTTTTGTTATCTGTTGCTTCTTGGCACTCCTTGTCAAACCATTCGTTTTCTTGAACTGGTTTGGTTTGGTTTTTTCAAGTAGTATTTTCACCACCAAAGATAAAACCCAGTACCTTCTGCTCTATTACATATACAGGCCAGATATCAAAAAAATATCCAATCACATAAAAAAGAAAGAAATAGCATCAGCCTTCCAGAACAAATAACAACTTAGGCAAATATATTAAGAACAACAAAAGCCAAAAGTAAAAGCAAAAGCACTTACACAGTGGTGTATACAAACTTAAATGTGGCGACTGCCCAAAAACTTACATCGGTCAAACTGGTAGAAGTTTTAACAAACGGATAGCAGAGCACAAAAGGGATTTCAATGGTAAAAAAAAACAGATTCTTCGTACGCACTTCGCCTTCAAGATCGTAACCATTCTTTTAATGACAAATTTCAAATTCTTCACATTTAAAATAAAGACCTTAAGCTATCTCTATTAGAATCTATGGAAATTAACAAATTAAAAAATACAGACATAATTCTCAATGACCAACTTGAACCAAACAGTTCTTCTTTTCTCAACTTATTTAGTTGAAGACTATAAAGACTAAATGCATGCCAAAAATAGATCACTTGAGAAAGGCAGTCTGTCGAAACAGCTGTAGTGATAATAATTTTAAATGAATTTTGTGAAAGTTTTCAGTGTTTTATTGTTAGATTATTGTTTAGTGCTTGGTAAATCTCATGTAGCACAGAAAACATAACATTACTGGTACATTTATTAGATAAAAAGCCGAACTGATTTTGTAATACAATAAAAGGCAATAGGTCTATACTTAGGAATACTAATGACTGTCTTTAGGTACTCTGGAAATGTATCTTTTTCAAAGAAATCATTAATTAGTGAGACTAGGACTCACAACACATTATTTGCGAGATTTAAGAAATTTTTTATCAATAGTCCATTGGTGCTACAGCGAGATTTGCTTTTGATACTATTGATTGTTTGGATCAGTTCAGATTTATTAACTGGTCTTTAAAGAATCAATTCAAGACCTTTTTTGAATTGGGGAGATAGGACATGATACAAAGAAGAATCTGCTGCATATCATAATTATTATACTAGTACTAGCAGATCTAATAAGAAATTAGTAGTTGTTTCGCACTAACAAGATATAGATGACCAGAGATATATTCGATCTAAAACTCAACCTAGATATTTTTTTTTCATCACTCAGCTATTTCATTTATTATGATAATCTTAAGCTTATAGAGCCTTGCGATTTTAAGTACGAGTTTTACGTTGTAAAGGAGATTCTTTCTTCTTTATATAAGCAATTGAGCTTGTTCATTGACGGGTTATTGCCTCTATGGAAGATTGTCAATTGTTACTCTATCTCTTGCGCATTCGGCTAATACTTGTTCTACCACTTGGTGATTTGTCCCTTGGTATTTTAATAACTCTTGTGTCCGTCATTTTACTGATGTGATTGTTCCATTCTTTTTTATGTTTAGTGTCTATTCGCTTATATCATGTACATTTGCCAGGAAAAACATATATAAGGTAACATGGAGATCAAATGATGGAAGAACGAGGAACCAAATTGATCACGTATTAATTGATGGGAGGCATTCCAGTAGTATAATAGACGTAAGAACTAGACGGGGACCAGATAGTGATACAGACCATTTCCTAGTAAAGGCCAAGCTCAGAACTAGAATCTCAACACAAACAACAGACAAACAGATGAAGATCGAAAGATGGAATGTGTCTAAATTGGAAGAAGAAGAGGGAAAGAGACAATACCAACTAGAATTGAGAAACAGATTCCAGGTGTTGGAAACGAAAGAAAATGAAAGAGAAAATATAGACCAGAAATGGCACTCCATTAAAACGATCATTACAGAAACAGCAGAGAAGTGTATAGGTCGGAAGAGAAAAGCAAAAAGAAAAAAATGGTTTGATGAAGAATGCGAGGATACCTTAAAAGAAGCAAACAAAAGAAGAATCGACTACCTAGCAAACCCGACGGATGAAAAGCGTGAACAATACAATAGAGAGAGAGCCTTAGCCAGAAGAACAGTAAGGAGAAAAAAGAGACAACATTTACAACAACAAATTGAAAAAGTAGAACGTGAACACAGAAGCAAGCAAAATAAAAAATTCTACAAAGAAGTAAGACAACATAAGAAAGGTGCATATATAAGAACACCGAACTTTGTGAGAGATAAAAATGAGCAAATGATTACAGCTGAAAATAAAATAATCGAAAGATGGGCTGAATACTTTGAAAGTCTTCTAAATGTCCAGGTAGACGCGGATGGAAATAAAGCAAATTGTGAGTACCAAACGGCCGAGATAGAAGTACCCCCGCCAAGCCTGGAAGAAATTATCACGGCGATAGAAACCCTAAAAAATGACAAATCCCCGGGACTAGACAATATTGATGCAGAACTGATTAAAAAAGGAGGGCATGAACTTAGAACTAAAATACACCAATTAATGAAAGAAGCCTGGGAACAAGAAATAATGCCAAAAGAATGGAGTGGCTGTATTATCGTGCCAATACATAAAAAAGGCAGAAAGGATACATGTGGCAACTACAGGGGAATCTCACTAATCGGTACTACATATAAGATATTAGCTTCAGTTGTACTAAAACGATTACTGCCATATACAGAGGAAATTATTGGCGATTACCAATGCGGCTTTAGGCCTGGAAGATCAACAATCGACCAAATATTTACTATCAGACAAATGCTAGAAAAGTATTGGGAATATAATAAAGAAGTACACCAGATCTTCATAGATTTCAAACAAGCATATGATTCCATAGATCGCTTAAAACTGTGGAGTGCAATGATGGAGTTAGGCGTACCAAAGAAGCTGACCATGATTGCGCGAATGTGTGTCAACAATTCCTTTGCACAAATTAGAATAGGAGGCAAAACTTCAAAGGCTTTCGGCATAAGCACCGGGCTCAGACAGGGAGACCCGCTGTCCCCATTACTATTTAACCTAGCATTGGAATACGCAATGCGAAAAATCTATACCAGAGTCAAACCAGACATAACTGCCAGAGGAGCAAAGATTATTCTCGCATTTGCAGATGATGTAGATGCAGTAGCACAGACAACACTGGAAGTTAAGGATATAGTATCGAACTTTGAAGAAGCAACACTAAGCGTAGGCCTGAAAATAAACGAAGAAAAAACTAAATACATGGTCGTATCAAAAAAGGAACGACAGCGAATAAGACAAAACATTACCATAAACGATCATAATTTTGAGGTGGTCAAAGAATTCAAATACCTAGGAGCAACAATTACCAGTGAAAACACAGGAGAACGGGAGGTTGAAATACGAATACTGGCGGGGAATAAATCATTCTTTGCCATTCAACATCTAATGAGGTCAAAGCTTCTCTCAAGGCGTGCCAAAATCCAAATGTACAAAACCATAATACGACCAGCAGTGACATATGGAAGTGAAACATGGACATTGAGAAAGAAAGAAATCAATAAGCTATTAGTATGGAACGCAAAATCCTGCGAATTATATATGGTCCTTGCAGGGACAGCGTGACAAATGAATGGAGGAGCAGATACAACAATGAAATAGAGACTCTCTTCGGGAAAGGAAACATCGTAAGATACATAAAAGCCAATAGATTAAGATGGGCAGGCCACGTGGTACGGAGTGATGACGACAGACTGATTAGCAATGTGTTTTGGGAAAGACCAGATGGTAGAAGATCGACAGGAAGGCCTAGAAAAAGGTGGAAAGACGCAGTCAGGGAAGACCTGGAGAAGATGGAAGTAAGGCCATGGGAAATAATAGCACAGGATCGGAATCAATGGAAGGCAATAGTAAACGCGGCAAAAACTCACGAAGAGTTGTAAAAGCCAATGATGATGATGATGTACATTACACTTTGTTCTGATTTGTAACTTCTTATTCGGTCTCTTAGCGTGTTTCCTTTAATACTTCTGGGTATTCTCATTTCTGCTGTTTCCAGCATCCTTTGTGCTTAAATCCTCTTCTTGTGGTCACAAACTATATTACAGAAATTGTTTTGGAACTCCATCAGCATTAGAATAAGTAATCTTTCTATAGACCTAAATCGGGAAAATACTTACACTACAGGAGTCTCTGTTAGCTTCACCAGCACACAGCATATGCTCAACAATGCCTCCAGGAGCAGCAGGACCATATTTGGACTTGCAGTTTAGATTGTTCCAAATTGGAATATTGACTTCTTGTAAAACAGCTGGTTGTGGTCCACCTAAAAGAGTTAAATAGGAATTAAATAATAAATAAAAATATTAGAGGTCCTTATTTATTACAATTAAATTAATTGTTATTAACAAGCAACCTCAAAAAAAAGTAGAGACAACAGACGAATATTCAGCACAGTAAGGCAGCTTCCGCAGAACTTACTGTTACTATGGTAGGGTTCGATATCGTTTGATACAAGAGCTTTGAGTATACCAGGGTCAAATAAGAAGTCCATCGTGTGATGGCCGAGTGCTCATATATAGCAAGTCTGCCGAAATCCAGAGGACTTAAATAATAGTTAATAGAACATAATAAGCCAACTTCTTCTTTTGGTGCCTATCCTCTATGGACGTTGGCAATCACATTGGACAGCTGCTCTAAATAGATGTATGGTAGTCATTCCTGCCCACTGTCTGATGTTCTTCAACCACGATATCCTTCTGCGCCTTTGAGATCTTTTGCCTTCTATCTTGCCTTGTAAAATTAGTTGAATTAGTTGATACTTCTCATTGCAGCATCACATGCCCTAAGTATGTCATCTTTCTGATTTTCACGATACGCATAATTTCCAGATCTTTATTCATACGTTGGATCACGGTGTTGTTTGTAACATGATGGATATAGGAAATTCTGAGCATGCGGCGGTAGCACCACATTTCGAAGGCTTCTAATCGTTTGGATGTTGCCTCCGTCAAGATCCAGGCTTCGACTCCATATAAAAGGGTAGAAAATACATAGCATCTCAAGACTCGTGTTCTTATATCAATGTTCAGGTGCATATTACATAAAATCTTCCTGAGGCGATTGAAGACAGCTCTCGCCTTTTCTATACGACATCTTATTTCCTGTGAGTGGTCCCATTCCTTATTTAGGCTGCATCCAAGATATGTAATTTTGTCGACTATTTTCAAGGGTTCATTATTAGCTGTGAATTGGTGCTTAATTACGTCGTTTTTACTTACTACAAGAATTTTGGTCTTCTTACAGTTTAATTTCATGCCGTATCTGTCACAGGCTTCCACTACACGGTCTATTAATGTTTGCAGATCCTCCGCATTATCAGCAATCAAAACCGTATCGTCCGCATATCTTAAATTGTTTATGATTTCACCATTGATTTTTATACCTTCTCTTAAACCATCAATAGCTTCCCTGAACAGCATTTCCGAGTAAGTATTGAACAACGTCGGTGACAAAATGCAGCCCTGACGTACTCCCCGTTTTATCGTGAATTCTTGTGAGGTTTCATTGTCTACTTGTACAGTTGCCCTTTGCTGTAAGTATAAATTTTTAATTAGGCGTAAATCTTTGTCATCAATACTAGATTCTTTCAGTATCTAAAATATTTTTTGATGCTGCACCTTGTCAAATGTTTTTTCAAAGTCTATAAAGCATACGTAGACTTCGCAATTTACGTCCCGAGCTCTTTGTATCAATACTTTTATGGAAAATAAGGCATCTCGCGTTCCCAGTTCGCTTCTAAACCCAAACTGAACACTGCTAATGTTTTCTTTAAGTTTTCTATATATGCGGGAGTGAATAACAGAAAGAAGAATTTTGAGTGCATGGCTCATTAAGCTTATAATTCTGTAATCAGAGCATCTGGTGGCATTTGCCTTTTTGGGGAGAGGGATGAAGGTGGAAACTAGCCAATCTGTAGGAAATTCTGCAGTTTCATAGATTTTGTTCAGTAGACTCGTTAGGAGTTTGAGTTGGTTGTTTTCAAATAGTTTCAATATTTCAGCTTGTATGTTATCAGGTCCAGGTGCTTTGTTGGTTTTTAGTCTTTTTATTGCATATGTTACTTTACTGGAGATTTGAATGCCAAGCTTGGCAGGGAGGATGTATACAAACAAATAACAGGGGGAAAAAGTAATCATAGAGACAGTAATCTGAATGGAAAAAGAGTAATAAAATTTGCTTTCAAACATAATATGCGAATTATGAGCACTTATTTTGATCACAAAGAAATTCATAAAGGTACCTGGGTATCACCAGATGGACAAACAGTAAACCAAATAGATCATTTACTAATAGAAGCCAAACATATGAGAGCCATAAAAGATAGCCGAAGTTACAGAGGTGCTGATGCAAATTCGGACCACTTTTTGGTCAAAGTTAAAATGGAGCAAATAATACCCACAATTAATAACACTAGTTGTAAAAAAATAAAAAGATATAACGGTGCACTACTTCAGGAGGGAGAAGTTAAGAAAAAATTCAGGCAGCAAATTGAAGAGAAACTGAAAAGCCAGACAACAGTAAATGATATAGAAAGCAGATGGGTACAACTAGAAGAAAAAATTCAAGAAGCAGCCGACTCAGTATTATCAAGAAACAGACAATGTAAACAAACGGATTGGTATGATGAGGATTGTAAGAAAGCCATTAGTGACCGAAATAAAGCTAGAATAAATAGCATAATAAGAAATAATGAAGAGAGTAAAAAAGCTTATGCAGCAAAAAGACGGGAAGCAAAGAAGATCTGTAGAAGGAAGAAGCGGTCAAGTTTAGAGCAGAAACTAGTTCGTATTGAAGAAGATTTTTTACATAAACAAGTCAGGAATTTCTACCAAGAAATAAAACGAGACCGAACCCAGTACAAAACCACATCAAGATATTATAAAGATGAAGAGGGGAATCTGTTAGGTGGAACAGATGAAAAATTAAGAAGGTGGGCCAATTATTTCGAGAACATATTATGTACGGACGACCAAGATGAAAGAGAACAAACGCAACTACAACATGAAGAAGTAAGGGACCCAGATGTAAATGAAGAAGTACCTACCAAGGAAGAAATTATAGAGATCATAAAAAACTTAAAAAACAACAAAGCACCTGGTGAAATGACATGCTGAGTTTCTAAAAGAAGGTGCGAAATGGTGCAAGAAGAAATCGCTGAAGTGTGGATCAAAGAAAAAATACCCAATCAGTGGAAAGAAGCAATCTTATGTCCAGTGCATAAAAAAGGAGACGTTACAGAATGTAAAAATTACAGGGGAATAGCTCTACAAGATACAGTGTATAAGATTCTGGCCATATCAATTAGAAATAAAATTAAAACAAAAGTTGAAAATTGTCTAGGTGAATATCAAGCAGGTTTCAGAGCAAACAGATCGGTAATAGACCAAATTTTTACAATGAAACAAATTTTAGCTAGCTCATATGAATTCAACCTAACATTACACATGCTTATTAAACTGTTTATTCGGGCTGTTGGGCCGTTGTCTTCTGTTGAGATTAGTTCTCGACGTTTCGCCAACACTAGGGGTTGGCATCTTCTGGAGATGTTGATGCTTCGCTTGTAAGCAGAAACTGACGACGCGTTGTACTACGGAGGCAATATTTATAATTCCCACTCGCCTCCCCTCCACTGGTTTCGGCTTGAGGGGGCGTGTCGTTGTTTATAGTAGCTTTTCTATCTCCGTGTTTGGCGGGAAGGGCGTTTGTGGATTTTAATACTGGTATCCATGTTTTGTTGATTTTTAGTCCTTCTTCTATCCTATTGAAATTGTTTGGGTGCTTGTATATTTCCACCGCTTCCCGATATAACCGTGGGTAGTACTGTGAAGTTTTGTCCAGCATCTGTGTTTCTTCAAATAGTATTCGATGTTCTCCGCTTCCCAAAGCGTGTTCGGCAACGGCAGATGGAGGGGAGGCGAGTGGGAATTATAAATATTGCCTCCGTAGTACAACGCGTCGTCAGTTTCTGCTTACAAGCGAAGCATCAACATCTCCAGAAGATGCCAACCCCTAGTGTTGGCGAAACGTCGAGAACTAATCTCAACAGAAGACAACGGCCCAACAGCCCGAATAAACTGTTTAATAAGTTAGACGATGGCCGTGAAAGCCTAACGCAATTTATCATTACACATGCTGTTTATTGATTTTAGACAGGCATATGATACTATAAAAAGAAATAAAGTATATGAAGCACTAGAATATTTTGAATTTCCACCAAAAATAGTAAGACTGACTAAATGCATACTCAATGATACTAAAAGTAAAGTCATGTTAGAAGGACGGGTTTCGGATAGCTTTATCACCAATAGAGGTCTGCGACAAGGTGACCCGTTATCAACAGATTTTTTCAATTTGATCTTAGAGAAGATTTTACGAGAATGTAACATCTACACTAGAGGCACAATATATCATCACAGGCATCAATGCGTAGCATATGCAGATGATGTTACCTTAATAACAAGGAGACCTGCAGAATTAAGAGAAATTTTTACTAGAATAGAGAGAATAGCCAGGGAATATGGTTTAGAAATAAACGAAGAAAAAACAAAATATATGGTGATGAGGGGAAACGAAAATCATCTAGGACAGTCCTTTAAGATACAAAGCCCAAGTAAAGAATATAACTTTGAAGTTGTTAGCCAATTCGATTACTTGGGAGTGACACTAACAAATAGGAACGAAGAGAACCAAGAAATCATAAAAAGAATGGCCAAAGGTAGTAAGAGTGCTGGGAGCCTGACTAAGATACTGAGGTCGAAGATAATATCCAGAACAGCAAAAAAACGAATATATACAACAGTTATCCGACCTACAGTACTCTATGCTAGCGAGACCTGGACACTAAATAAAGATATGGAAGTAAAATTAGATAGATGGGAACGAAAAATTCTTAGAAGGATATACGGAGGTGTAAAAGAGGGAACATCTGGCGAAGAAGAACGAATGAAGAAATAATGCAAATATATGGGCAACCAAAAATAACAAGACTCGCTAAAATTCAAAGATTAAGATGGCTCGGGCATATAGCAAGAATGAAGGAAGGAAGAGTTCCCAATGAATTAATAAACACGGAGGCTGGTACAAAAAGAAAAAGAGGCCGCCCCGAAGAAAATGGCTGGAGTCGGCAAAAGAAGATCTGAAGTCGCTGCGGGTACAAGATTGGAAAAACTTAGCACAAGATAGAAAGAAATGGAAGAAAACCGTTGAAGCCTTGGGCCTTTGAGGCCTGTTGAGCTGAACTATATATATGTTACTTTACTGAGCGTTATTTCTGGTCCTGAACATCAAGGAACACTAACTTCTCTCTCTTGCTCTTCCTTGAAGAATTCTTCCATGTATTGCTTTCATCTCTTAAGTATTCTCTCATTTTCGTAGAGCAGATTGTTGTGCTCGTCTAGTATTAAGTTATGACTTCGTGATCCGTTTCCTCCCGTTAAGTTTTTGATCTTTTTATGTAGGTTAAAAGTGTCATGCTTCTGTTCTAGGGATTCTATTTCTATGCATTGATCTTGTAGCCATGATTCTTTTGCTTCTTTAATCTTTTTCTTAATGATTTTGTTTATTTCTTTGTACCTTTCTTCATTCTTATTTCTGTTCGTTCTTCGATTAGGTCTGAATTCTGAAATCGTTTGTTGATGATGATGTAGTCAATCTGGTTTCTAATCATTTTTTTTTTGACAGTCAGCTGGAGATTTCCAGATGTAGAGTCTTCGAGGTGGTAATTGAAAAAAGTTGTTCATTATTGCACTATCCGTTTCCTGGCAGAACTGAACAAGGCGGTCTCCTTAGAAAAATTTTCACTTTTTTTTTTCATTTTTACTTTTTTTGCTTAATCAGTCTAAGGTGTGATAAATAATAACTTTATCTTACAGATTCTTAGTTCTAAGACTAATTAACACTTTTATTGCAGATTCTTATCATTTCGCGTTCCTAGTCCAAAGTGTCCCACAGTATTGCCAACACCTCCTTTGCCTACTTTGGCGTTGAAATCTCCTAGCAGGATATTCACTTCTTGTTTTTTGGTATGTTTTAGGGATTCTTTCAATTGTTCATAGAATATTTCTATTTGCTGCTCTGAGCTTTCCGAAGTTGGAGATATGCTTGAATAATGTTCACGTTAACTGGTTTAGCATTAATTTTGAGTACTGCAACTCTATCTGATATTCCTATAAAACTAAGTACACATTTGTTAACTTCTTTATTTACTATTATAGCCACTCCGTTTTGTTTCTTGTTGTAGTATCTCCACAGTAGTATATTGTGTGGTTTTCTATTTCGCATTGGCCTAAATTGGGCCATCTAACACAACATTGATTATTTAAATTAATGTAACAGTAAAAAGGGGGCTAGCTTGACTCCTTGTAGGAGAGTAAGAGTTGTAGGACCTCCTTTTTTTCTAAAAGTTGTGTTTTAAATACTCTATATATACACATTCTTCTTCTTCTGGTTCCTATCCGTTTCGGATGTTGGAAATCATATTGGCAATCATAACCTTGCTCGCTGCGGCTCGAAACAGCTCCGTTGAGGTTTTCTTAAACCATGTTCTTAAATTCCGCAGCCATGATATTCTCCTTCTACCGGGTCCTCGCTTACCTTTGACTTTACCTTGCAATATAGACTGTAGCAGGGAGTAACGGTGCTGATTTCTCATAACGTGTCCCAGATATTGCAATTTTATGCGTTTGATCGTAAACACAATCTCTGGTTCCTTCTTCATTTTTCCTAGAACTTCCTTGTTCGTGATCCTTGCTGTCCATGATATTCTCAGCATTCTTCTATAAAGCCACATCTCAAATGCTTCAAGTTTTTTAATAGTGGTGTCTGTAAGCGTCCATGCCTCCGCCCCGTACAACAACACAGAGAAAACATAGCATCTCAAATGTCTCATTTTTGTATCAAGGGATATGTTGTGACTTTTGAAGATGGCGCTCATTTTGTTAAAGACCGTTCTTGCCTTTCCTATGCGGCACTTTATTTCCTGTAAATTGCTCCACTGTTCGTTAATAATAGTTCCCAGGTAACAATACTGTTTTACTCGCTCTATCTGCGTCCCATTAATGTATAGATGAGCCCCGTTTATATTCTCCTTGCTGATAATCATTTGTTTCGTTTTGTGGGTATTAATGTTTAGTCCGTACTGTTGACTGTACTCGTTTATTCTGTCCATTAGCCTCTGAAGTCCCTCTAAACTATCTGCTATCACCATGGTGTCGTCGGCATATCTAACATTGTTTACTCTTTCACCATTTAGAAGGATGCCTTCGTCTATTCCGTAAAGAGCCTCGTTAAAAATTTTCTCTGAGTACATATTAAATATCAACGGCGATAGGATACATCCCTGTCTAACTCCACGTAGTATTTTTATGTGATCTGTTTCTTCTCCGTTAATTTTCATGTATGCGGTCTGATTCCAGTAGAGTTCTGAAATTATTCTGAGGTCTTTGTCATCCAGGTCTGCCTCTTTTAAAATGTTTATCATCTTTTGATGTTGAACTCTGTCAAATGCCTTTTCATAGTCGATCAAGCACGCGTATACGTCGCAGTTAACGTCCCTGCATCTTTGAATCAGTACCTGTACTCCGAAAAGTGCCTCTCTGGTACCCACTGCGTTAATGAAGCCGAACTGTCTGTCCGATATTTGTTCCTCGCACTTCTTATAAATTCTTCCATGGATGACTCTAAGAAACAGTTTCAACATGTGGCTCATTAGGCTGATTGTTCGATATTCTTCGCACTTTTTAGCCCCCTGTTTTTTAGGTATCGCTATGAATTCTGATTCTAGCCATTTATCAGGGATGATTCCTGTATTGTATATTTTATTGAAGACAGCCGTGATCCAAATTATTCCTTCTTCCTCCAAGAGTTTTAAAAATTCAGCTTCGATATTATCAGGCCCTACAGCTTTCCTGCTTTTCATCCGTTTTATTGCTTCTTCTACCTCGGATTTAAGTATGTCCGGGCCCGTCATCCTCTCTGAAAATGGATGCCTATAATCCGTTCTTTGATCTTGAAAAAGTGTCTCCAAATATATTCTCCATCTGTCTTTCATCTCTTGGGTGTCAATGATTAATTTTCCATTGGTGTCTATGAGTTTCATTTGTGTTCGCTTTTTAAAAGTACCCGTTATTTCTTTTACCTTTTTGTGTACATTAAAATTGTCATGCTTGGCTTGTAGTCTTTCTATTTCTTTACATTTCTCTACAGCTTCTTTTTCTTTAGCTTTATTTATTTTATATATAATATATACACATAATAATTCTTAAATATAAAATCTCTATAACTACACATAATAGTTTAGAAGCCACATGTATTTGACAGGCAACGACATCAGTAAAAAAAGGCACCGGAAATATTTCATGTGTACTCCTACTTACTTTCTCTTAAACTTCCCCATCCTATTACTGTCCCTGTTTTTCCTGTGGGATCGGTACTACTGGTGGGAAGACAAACTGATCTAATTTGCTGATTAAAATCCACTGGACTATCCAAGGTTAAGATTGCAATATCGTTGTACTGGAAATTAAGTTTTGTGTTAGTAAATATTTCGATTTTTGTTCATCTTTTACTTACCAAGGTCCTAGCATCAAATCCTCTGTGTCTTACTACTCTCTTAACTCGTTTTTCAATATGTCTGGTTTCAGAGTTGGATTTGATATTGTGATCTCCGAGTCTTACTGTTAGCCTCGCGACATCCCAGGAGCTCATACTAAAAAAATAATAATACTGTCTTTTTACAATATTCTCCTACGATTTGGAGACACTTAAAATAATTAAAATATATATTGATACATATTAAATAAAATATGTTTATATTAACATAATTAAAAATGTGTAAATATCTCAAGAACATCTGAAGAAAATATCTCAGAATAATCAGCCGAGAGATCTATTTAGAAAAATACGCTACCTGACAAGAGACTTCAGAGCCAGAACTTGGGCCATTGAAGATAACACTGGAACCCTGAGAACAAACAGAGAAGACATAGCAGAGACATGGAGATCGTATTGCAGGGACCTATATAAAGATGATCAACGCCAAGAGCTTGTTAGCCAAATCTCTGACGAGGTGGAAGAAGAACCTGATATACTCGAAAATGAAGTAAGACAGGCTATCAACAAGCTCAAATATAACAAAGCACCAGGTCCAGATATGATAACAGCAGAAATGCTTAAAGCCACAGAAGAAACCGGCGTAAAGTTACTTCATCTACTCTGTAACCAAATATGGCATTCCAAACAATGGCCTGAAGACTGGACAAAATCTACAATAACGACCATACATAAAAAAGGCAGCTTCCATAAATGCGACAATTATAGAACTATCTCTCTTATATCCCATGCCAGCAAGATAATGCTACATATAATCAATGAGAGACTGAAAACATTCCTTCAAAGAGAAATTCCACAAGAGCAAACTGGATTTACCAAAGGTAGAGGCACTCGAGAACACCTGCTGAATATAAGACAGATAATCGAGAAATCTAGGGAATTCAACATCCCACTATACATCTGTTTTATAGATTACCGTAAAGCGTTCGACAGGGTCAAGTGGAGACACTTATGGCGAATACTAAAAGAAGTAGGCGTACCACAACATCTAATTACGCTTATAACCGAACTATATGAACACACTACTGGATCAGTTAAAGTACTTGACACACTTTCGAACGAATTTCATCCAGAACGGGGTGTCAGACAAGGATGTATACTATCTCCACAATTATTCAACATATATGGGGAGTATATTATGCGAAGAGCACTTGAAGGATGGGAAAAGGGCATCTCAATAAATGGTCATAAACTAAACAACCTACGTTTCGCAGATGACACAGCCCTTCTTGCAAATAGTCAAGCAGAGCTGATAGAACTTATACGACTGATCGAAAACGAAAGTCAAATATTTGGTCTGCAATTAAACATATCAAAGACAAAGATCATGATAGTGGATAGACTACACAACAATCATCCACACATAACCACAATTGACCGGTTCGAGGTTGTGAGCTCATACTTATATCTGGGATCATTAATCACAAACACAGGGTCATTACAAGAAGAGATTAAACGTAGATGTGATCTAGCAAAAGTTGCCACAGCAAAAATGACCAAAATATGGAAGGACTGTCAAATTTCAAGAGCGATAAAGATGAGGTTGATCAACTGCTTAATATTCCCAATACTGACCTACGGATGTGAATCTTGGACTCTGAGACAATCGGAGAGAAGAAAGATAGACGCCACTGAAATGTTCTGTTGGAGACGAATGTTACGAATTCCTTGGACCGACCGTAGAACAAATAATTCAATTTTAAGAGAGCTAAAAGTTAGCCAACGACTCTCTAGTAAAGTCCATCTCCAACAATTAAAATATTTTGGGCATGTTATGAGAGCAAACACAGAAAACATGGAAAGACTCATAATACAAGGAAAGGTAGAAGGCCGAAGATCACGAGGAAGATCCCCAACAAGATGGATAGATCAAATTACAGGAATATGCCAAAGACCTATGCATGAATTAAAAGAAATGACCAGAGACAGAGATCTCTGGAGACGGACAATACACGACATCACGTCGACCACTACACTCCCCCTGGGGGGTCAGGATTGAAGAGAGAGATCTCAAGAACTGAGTAGTCCACGAATATTGAATTAAAAATAGAACTCAGTGCGATTCTGGAAGCCTAATCTAGTAAATATGTGAAGTAAAGTATCCAATTCTCTCCATAGTAAGGATATAAGACTAACTTCAAACTTATGTCTCAAAAAAAGCAACAATTTGATTTGAAAATGAACTGTCTAAGATTTTCACAGTCAGAAAAGAAGTTCGACAGGGTCGCATGCTATTACCAGCACTAATTAATACATACTCTGAAAACCCATTTTGTGAAGCTCTGGACGAATCAGAAGATGGTATTACAGTAAATTGCCAACTTATAAACAATATTAGATATGCAGACATAGTGTTGCTGGAAAATAGTGTACAGTTGCTCCAAATAATGATGGATAATATTGTAGATAAATGTTATAAGTGCTGCTTGTCAGTATCAATAGCTTTAGTTGCACCAATCAATTGAACAGAATTGAAAAAATTGTAAATAAATATAACCTATACTAGGGTTGCAGCTTATTGCATATTATAGGGTTGCAGATCGAGGAAGGAAGAATCGAGTACTCTTACAAAAAACATCCGAGACACTTAAAAATGCTGAACAATGTATATCTGAGCAACGGATATTCGGAGCTCAAATAAGGAAGCTCAGAAACATTAGGGAGCAGAATTTTGACCTAATAAATTTGTCGATGACGCTCCATGTGCTCCTCGACATGAAGAATACCAAGTCATGAACGGATATGGGTTATGTGCTAAGACTCAACATCACAAAACCTTTTTTGAAGAAAAATCGAGTGGAAAGCTGTTCAAACTAAAGAACTCCTTTAATTCAAATGTGAACTAGGATCTTCTCTTTCCACAGACCAAAAGAAAAAGAAAATCTGAAGGTAACATTAGCCTTAATGAAGAAAATAAAGGACTCAAAGAGGAAAATGGAGCTCAAAGTCGCCGTTAAATAACTGCATATTATGCTATTTAGCGGTGAAACATTTCATCATCCAAACTAGAAACTAGTCCCAAGCGAGCTGCACGTCCAGTCTGCTGTCGACTGATCACTGATGCATTAGAGACCGGTTACTAACTAGTAGCGATGTGTGCGGATACTCATTAAAATACATGGACAGTAACTAATAAGCAACTGATTGGTAACTAAAGTTACTGGTTTCTTTTTAGTAGCTTCATGTGCGACGGCCTAAGGCAAGGCTGTGTGCTCTCGCTGACTCTTTTCAATGTATACTCTGAGAAAATCTTTACTGAAGCCCTCACAAACCTAGAGATGGGAACGGTGAATACATCAATAATATCCGCTACGCCGATGACACTGTGCTACTATCAACCAGCCTAAATAATCTACAAGCCTTACTAGACCGAGTTAGAACTGTGAGCGTAACATACGGACTAGACCTTAATATTAAGAAAACTAAAATCATGGTTGTCAGCCGTGCAAATTTAGATCCCGGGGCACTAATGGCAGGTAGCGAAGAGATCCAGAGAGTCGACAGATTCACTTACCTCGAACTACCCTCAACTCACAATGGGACTACGCTCAAGAGATTAGATCCAGAATTGAAATGGCACGGTCTACATTTATCAAGTTGAGATTCTTGCTGTGCTGCAGTGATCTCAGTTTGGGAACCAAGATGCGGATAGTGAGGTGCTACATTCTTCCAGTGTTACTATATAGAGTTGAAGCCTGGACACTGACGCAAGCTACTGAAAAGCGGATTGAAGCCTTCGAGATGTGGATCTACAGGAGGATACTAAAAATATCGTATGTGGACCATGTCACCAACGTTGAGGTCCTACTGCATATGAGAAAAGAAAAAGAAGTGCTTAATTTCGTGAAACAACGTAAGCTTGAGTACCTCGGTCACGTGATGCGAAACGAAGAAAAATATCGAATTCTTCAACTCGTTATGCAGGGTAAAGTATTTGGCAGAGAGGACCGGAACGCCGTCGTATCTCGTGGTTGAAAAACCTCCGACAATGGTTTGGGATGACCTCCGCGGAGCTGTTTCGCAGAGCAGTCAACAAAACCATGATAGCCTTGATGATCGCCAACATCCGGACCGGATAAGGCACTGAAGAAGAAGAGTACACAGATACTATATCAACACCAATTAGATGAGAAACTAATTAATAAAACTGAAACATCAACAGCAGAAGAAATATAAACATAGTGGACATCATTAAAGAAGCCGCACAAGAAGCACTCGTCTTGACGTTTCAAAGACAAGTGATAAGTTATGGTGGAACGAAGAAACAACAAGCCTCATAAAAGAAAAAAGAAAGCGTATATTAAATGGCTAGGTAGCAAATAACAAAGAGATTAATATAAATATCTACAGCTCAAAAGAATACCAATAGCGACAGCTAAAAGAGAAATGTAGAATAAAAATGCCAGGAGGCAGAAAATGTACAGAGGCATAGAATTCCTTTAGTAAAATAAGAACTAATGAAAGAAGAAGCACAAATATGCAAATAATGTCAATACAAAAATGTGAAAAGTACTAGAGGGAACTACTAACACAAAGTGGAATGAATTTTTAACTCAATTACCAACGAAAGTAAACATTGAACGTGAATAATGGAAGAAGTTATTAGAAGTACAAAAGGCTATAAAAAACTGAAAAATGGAGAAAAATCTCCAGGACCAAAAGGTATCCTTGCTAAACTGGTAAGATGTGAAATACAAAACTTTTTGGAACTCCCATTTGGTGCACAAATCAATGCTTAAATGGCACTCCCGTAACATTTAAGTATTGAGTATTTCGCAGGGAGAGATTTTGAACGATGAGAGACGACAACCTCTGGGAGTTGAAGGCTCAATAATGACAGTTGTGAAGAGAAAGTAAATGATATGGTACGGATATGTCCAGAGGATAGAAAATACAAAACTCACAAAAAAGATTATGAAATAAGTTCCACCAAAACTGTAGAAGATGAAGAAAACCTCTAAAATCCTGAAGAGAAAAAATAACTAAGACAATAAGCACAAAAGACGAAGCCAATGTAATGATCCAATGGCATGGAAATAAGACATTGGACAATTTTGCAAGACGTTTTGAAACCGATTATATACCTACTTACATATTTTTCTAAAAAAAAAGGCTAAAAAGTAATCTAATTCTATAAAACCAAAGTTGGAACATAACTTACTGAAGGAACTACCAGATAAAGGAATCATACTTATTACTCTCATCTTCAATGCTATTATACGATTAAACTACTGGCCAAAGCTCTTTAAAACCGCTGAAATAATACTAATCCCAAAAGCAGGAAAAAATCCAAACGAGGTTTCATCATATAGGCCAATAAGCCTACTACCAGTCGTATCCAAAATACTTGAAAGGTTACTGTTACAAAAAATTAACTCAGACCCCAATACGGAGAAATGGATACCCAACCACCATTTGGTTTTCGAAAAAAACACACAAATACAGCAAGTTCATAGAATAGTACACACCATAAATTCTGCAATGGAAAGCAAACACTATTGCACAGCTGCTTTTCTAGATGTTAGTCAAGTCTTTGATAAGATTTGGCAAACAAGCCTGATTTTCAAAATCAAGAAATATTTACCCATCACGTACCTGAAACCTGAATGAAAGTAATTCCAATAATTTTCCTATAAAATCTGGTGTTCCACAGGGAAGCGTTCTTGGACCAATATTATATGAGCTATACACAGCAGATCTACCCTCCACTAATGAAACCATCATTGGCACGTTTGCAGATGATGCTGTCATCCTTGCAGCCGATGAAAATCCAATTATAGCATCTAACATTCTACAGGTACAACTGAATGAAATCGAGACATGGTCTTACAAGTGGAGAATTAAAATGAATGAAACAAAATCAGTCCAAGTGACTTTTACCTTGAGAAGAGACCCGTGTCACCCAGTTTCACTTAACAATATCCAACTTCCCCAATCCTCTAGCACTAAATACCTAGGAATACATCTTGACTCAAAACTCACCTGGAAAGAACATATTCTTAAGAAGCGGAAACAAATTGACCTAAGAATGAAAGATCTAAACTGGTTAGTAGGCAGGAAATCGAAACTGAGCCTTGAAAACAAAATCCTTGTATACAAAACCGTCATAAAACCATTGGATATGGAGTCCAACTCTGGGAATGTGCGAGCAAGTCAAACACAGCCATAATTCAAAGATGCCAATCAAAAATACTCCGAACGATAGCTGATGCAACTTGGTATGTGTCAAACCTAACACTACATGAAGACCTAAGAATCCCGTTCGTACAGGATGTAATCAATAAATACAGCACGAAGCACCATGAACCACTGGAATCACATAGTAACTCAATCACATAATACTCCAATCTCTGCTAGAACACCAAGCCAATAAGAGACTCAAAAGGAACTGGCCAGATGACCTGAGTCTTCTCCAGTAGGACTTGCTCCGCAGACAGCAAATTAGCTTATAGAACGTTATTTGTATTTTGATTGCTAAAGATTGTGTCATAATAAAAAAAAACTTACTGTGCTACACAATGCGCAGCTGATAGTATATGATTGTTATCAATCAGTGATCCCCCACAGAACTGTTTTCCGCCATTAAAAAGTGCTGCAATCCACGGCCATTCATTGACCTCAGCGTTGTGTCCCCCAACAATCCTCTTTTGATCTTGATATCCATTTTTAGCTCCACACGAACCAATTGGAAGAACAGGTGTACCAACAGTAGCAGTTGTAGGTTTACTAGTAGGTTTATGTGTAGGAGGTTTGTATGTAGGTGGTTTGTACGTCGGAAAAGAAGGTTGGTAAATGGGATTAACAGTTGGCTGATATATTGGATTTACAGGTTTCTTGGAAGTTGGCGGCCAAGCTGTAGGGGCTATGGTAGGCAAACCAAGTGAAGGAGGATGTGTCGGTAGAGGTGGAATGGTATTATCAGGTGAATGGGTAGGTAATGGGGGAGGCCAGTTAAATATCTGTGGAAAATAAGGTATTGCGCTATCATTTGTTTGTACTGCATCTATAACGGTATCTTCAGCTTCAACTATGGGAAGTTCCGTAGAAGCTGATCCTGGGGAAGACTCTGTAGGTTTTCCAGGATTTGGATTTGTACAACATACTCCAAACATCTAAACAATATAAGTAATTTACGTATATTTTATACAAGGTTACTACTTAAGTGTGAAATACTTGAACTTTATAGAAGATTAAAAAATATTTATATCTAAAATGATTACAGTATTTTTTAAAATACTTTTTTTTAAAGATGTAATTGAACCATATTTGTTTATTCTAAATTAACTAATTACAAAATATATATTTTTTTTAATTCGTTCGTTGTTTATAGGAAGTATAAAGAGTTGTTTAGTGCCAAATTAAGGTTTAAATGGTGAATACTCATCAAATGTGTAGGAGAGACTTGCGCAGTACCGGATACCTAAAGCTTTTTATAATTTTTTTTTAAACACGTATAAGAAATAAAAGTGCAATGTTTTAAAAGTGAACATGTTTGTTGTTCAGACAACAATTATTATTCGTAAAATTTCGTTGCTAAATATTATGAATATCAAATTAACAAATAAAAAAAGTATTTTTTGTTGTGCTACAGAGGAATGTGCCCAGTATCGGCCACATTAGAACACGTAAATAGCATGGATAATATAATGAAATACATTTACAAATAGTTTTGAATTTTATTTGCTTGCAAATGTTTATGTTGTTCAATTTTCAAACTTCCTCTCCTCCTCAGTCCTAATCCCTTTTGTCTTTATAGTTTTTTCACGATTTCCCTCCATCCTTCCCTGTCCTGGGCTAGTTGTTCGGCTTCCGGCTGGGCCTGAGAGCTTCCCCTAGGTCTCTTTCCTTCATAGACTAGGCGGCATCTGTAGAAATTCAGACCATAATGGAAATTTTCCATAGGAAGCTATTTTTTTGCTGGAATCCCTTCAGGATACGCCCAGTATCGATAATCACGATATGCGCCAGTCGCAAACCCTGTGCTAAATTTTTTATTTAACAAAATCTGAAAACAATTGAAAATTTCTCATTTTTTTGCTCTTATTTTCATTTATAATTCGGAAAATATTGATCCTAGAGAAAAAATTATAAGAAGTTAAAAGTTTCGTTATTCAATTTTACACAATATTTCGTTAGCTAGAAATTGAAAATTTAATGTTTATTGTTAAAAAAATAGCAATAATTGGAAAAAAAAGTACAAAAAAATGAAGTTAATCCTTTAAATGTTTTCGACTTTCTAAACTTGACTTACAAGTTCCATATTCCGCCTAGAAAAACTTTTTAATATGTTTAAAACGTGTGCTAAATTTTGTTAAGATCGGTCGGATAGGTTTTGCATAATAATTTTGCAATCCAGCCTACTGGAAAAAAATCGCAAATTTTCAAATTCATAGTAGGCCCTAAATAAGGCCCTCAGATAGTTGCAATTTTTTTTACATATAAAGGAAGTCTCAAACTTTCAAACGCTTTTTGTAAAATTCAAATCGGTTCACTAGGAGAGCCTAAAATTTTTTTTAAAGTTATAAACAATTTTTAGGCTTATAAACAAATTAAATAACTTTACGAGCTTTAAACATATCAATTTCAAAATGTATACACTTAAAGAACATTAAAAGACGCTTCTTTTAAAAAACAAAAAGATACATTCGGCTTACTGGTTGCCGAGATATTGAAGGTCAAAGTTGGCATACATTTGCCATGTAACCATAAGTGATAGAGGGCTCGTTTTTAAACAAATACCCTCGTCTTGCCAAATACTTTTTATATGAAAAGTTTTACGTAATGCGCTTCATGGCAACATCCATAAAAAAGACAAATAAAAAACCGTTTTCGCGTAAAATGTCGTTCGGAATGCATGAGAGGTGGTGGTGAGGGACATTCACTTCAAATGTGAATCGGCGAGTATCAAGTAGGGGACCATCAGTTTGTTTAATTTCGGGTTTTGAAATAAAAACAAATAGTAAAGTGCTCCAAAATCTGTAAGGGCTTGTATTGAAGGCGTGCTGTACACGTTTTTCAGTGGTTTGATCATATGTTCAACGCTATTATATAGTAGTTATATTGTCAAATCCGTGTGTTTTAACAGTAAAATATTTTGTATTTCAAAAACTAATAAAATGAAAATAAAAATATTTTTTCTGGAAACCTAGCAAAGGAAAAAAATCGGAAGAAATTTATGACTACAACTCTTTCAATAATGCACTTAAAATAAGTGAATCTACGAAATCTTCGTTAAAAAATTTAGTGGGCTTTTTACACGCATTTTCTGGTTGTGATACAACCTCTGCATTTTTTTATCAAGGAAAAAGCAAAATTGTTAAATTGGTTTCAAAAAATAATGATATATGGCAAGAAGCAACCATTTTTAATGAAAAAACTTTGACCTTCAATATCTCGGCAACCAGTAAGCCGAATGTATCTTTTGTTTTTTAAAAGAAGCGTCTTTTAATGTTCTTTAAGTGTATACATTTTGAAATTGATATGTTTAAAGCTCGTAAAGTTATTTAATTTGTTTATAAGCCTAAAAATGTTTATAACTATAAAAAAATTTTTAGGCTCTCCTAGTGAACCGATTTGAATTTTACAAAAAGCGTTTGAAAGTTTGAGACTTCCTTTATATGTAAAAAAAATTGCAACTATCTGAGGGCCTTATTTAGGGCCTACTATGAATTTGAAAATTTGCGATTTTTTTCCAGTAGGCTGGATTGCAAAATTATTATGCAAAACCTATCCGACCGATCTTAACAAAATTTAGCACACGTTTTAAACATATTAAAAAGTTTTTCTAGGCGGAATATGGAACTTGTAAGTCAAGTTTAGAAAGTCGAAAACATTTAAAGGATTAACTTCATTTTTTTGTACTTTTTTTTCCAATTATTGCTATTTTTTCAACAATAAACATTAAATTTTCAATTTCTAGCTAACAAAATATTGTGTAAAATTGAATAACGAAACTTTTAACTTCTTATAATTTTTTCTCTAGGATCACTATTTTCCGAATTATAAATGAAAATAAGAGCAAAAAAATGAGAAATTTTCAATTGTTTTCAGATTTTGTTAAATAAAAAATTTAGCACAGGGTTTGCGACTGGCGCATATCGTGATTATCGATACTGGCACATCCTGAAGGGATTCCAGCAAAAAAATAGCTTCCTATGGAAAATGTCCAATCCAAAACAGATCCCGCCTAGACTATCAACTCTACCCTCGACTATCAGTTTTTCCATCGTACCTGTTCTTCTAGCAATGTGTCCAAAATACTGCAAATATCTCTGTTGTATTTGTTTAAGCAATCTATACTTTACTTTAAGTTGTTCTAATATCGATACGTTAGTGCGATGATCAATCCAGGATATTCTTAACATGCGGGTATACCCACATTTCAAAGCTCTAGTTTATTTTTATCCGCTTTCTTTAAGGTCCACGTTTCGGATGCATATGTGGCTATGGGAAAAATGAGTGCACTTACCAGCCTTAGTTTTGTGTGTATTGTTATGCTAGAATTTTTCCAAATTGTTACCAGTTTCATCATAGCTGTTCTAGCAATAGTCAACCTTCTACGTATCTCTCTGTCACACCCTCCGTCATTTGTTATTAGGGACCCCAGGTATATGAAACTATTTACTACTTCAAAGCCCCCAATTTCTTTAATGTGTTGAAGATTATTCCGAGCTCTGTCTACTATCATGATCTTTGTCTTACTCCTATTTAGCTTTAGTCCATATGTTTTGCTTTTCTCCTCCAGACATCTCATTATGTCTTCCATTTCTTCTTGATTTGCCGCGATTATTAAAGTGTCATCAGCATATCTCAAGTTATTGATTTTTTGATCTCCTACTGATATTCCACCCTTCCATCCGTCTAGTACCTTTCGCATAATGTGTTCGCTGTAGATATTAAACAGAGTTGGCGAGATTATGCATCCCTACCTGACACCTGACTCTGTTCTGAAATGATCGGAATATGTGTTGTTTATTTTTACTGTGCACTTAATGTGCGAATTAATTGGTTGGGTGTTCCCATTTTCGTTAGTATTTATGGACAATAGCTGCTGCTATTTTACTTTATCGAAGGCCTCTTGTGCCTTTTATTGGGACAAATCCCGCTTGTTCTTCTGATATCTGAGGCAATAGAAAGCTTTAGTCTTCATGTATTACATGAAGTAGAACCTTGCTTGCATGGGATATTAGGGTTACCGTTCTGTAGTTGCTGCAATCTAGCGGAGTTCCTTTTTGAATATAGGGATGAAAGTGGATGTTGTCCAGTCGTTGGGCCACTCTCCGGTTTCCCAAATCTTTTTGCAGATCATATGCATAACATTTACTCCAACATCTCCAGTCTCTTTTAAAACTTCTGCGGTGATCTGGTCTGTGCCAGGAGATTTTCTATTTTTTAACTTTTTGATTGCTTTTTCTACCTCTGACTTTAGAATGTTTGGTTCTCTCTCTGCAGTGAACTCGTCGTGATTTGCATTCTGGGGATCATCTGCATATAGACTTTGACAATATTTTCTCCATACCTCCGCAATCCCTTTCTCGTCATTTATAATATGTTGGTTTTGATCCATTATTGTTTGTGTGATTGGTTTAAATTCCCTGGATAGATATCGGACTTTGTTATATAGCTCATGGGATTCATACCGGTTTGCATGTCTCTCTAGTTCTTCGCATTCTTCATTTATATGTTTATTTTTATCATCCCTACATGCTCTTTTAATTTCTCTATTTAACCTTGCTAATTCGTTTTTGTTGCTGTCGTTTTGATATATGAGAGATTTGATTCTCCTTCGCTCTTCGAGAAGTTGCAGCGTTCTGTCTATCATCCAGTGTTTTCTTTGGATGATCTTTTTTTAGTTTTGGTTTTTATACATAGGTTTTAAACTCTTCCAATTTTATTGGTAGTTTCTCCTCAGATCAGTCACTCAATAGCTTTCCTTCTTTACTGTTGATTTCTAAACTTCCACTACTTGGTATCGTTGACATGAAAAGTTGTCTATTCACATCAAGACTTTTCTTTTGTTTTTTTTTGTTCAAGCTATTTGGTTTGTTTTTTTTTGCTGGTTGCATTTTCTTTTCTTTTTCTCTATTACTCTGGTCAAAATCTCACTCTTTTT